ACAGATGATAGAAGAACTAAAATTTTGGTGAAAGATCTGCAATAAAGTAATAAATATAAGTAAATGTACACCAGAAATGTTATATTACACTCTGAAAAATAATTTCTCTGTTTTCCTTTAGACTGTATAATCAAGTTTTTTGCAATGTGCTTGATTTTCATGGATGGAGAAGAATTTAAGTCAAAAACATTTGGGAAATAGCTTTCAGCCTGATGTGTTAAAGCAATCAGAGGTCAAACATAACCACAAACCAAAATAAATCTTGAAGAGTCTTTAGTAACTAACAAACACAGGAGGTGGTTTACACCAATTTTTTTACTTTGAACAGACATTGATTAAAAGCAGTCAGACCACTCCCTTCATTCCAGCTGAGGGAATCATAGTGGACCCCATTAAAACCTTTGCAGGTGTCACAGAACGTGAGCATAACTTTACAACAGAGCTTAAAAATTATATTTACTAACAAAATCATAAAAGACAGGAAGTATTAAGGGGCAGGGTATTAGACCTGGGCAGGAACTGCATGCATAGGAAGAGTAACCAGGTATGCAGGGAGAAGTAAGAATGGGTCTTTACTTTTATTCAGGGTTTAGTGAGTGGAATTCTATTTCCTTATCCTCCATTTATAATAAGGGCTATAGGTTTAAGAGTTTACAGATTTCTGTGAAGAGAAATGCTCCACTGAAACTCTCTGTGGCTTTAAAACTGATCTTCATTAAATAGGTCCAAAGCCTTAATTTTATACATTGAGAAGCAAAAGTTACAGAACTCTCTTCAAATTCTGAACTCCGGATGCCAGACACAGAATATGAATTCATGAGCATTCTAGAAGAATTCTTTAAATTCTAGGCAATAATTTATGGATTGATTTAATAAAAATAGTTACTTTCAGCTCTTAACTCCTACTGATGCTGCCTCTGTGCACAAAACTCTCATTCTTCCCCACTGTCCTGTCCTTTAGCTGGTCTGGAGACTGTTACTGTCACCTCCTTCCAGTCCCTCCTCAAGAATTCTTTCTTCCATGATGTCTGTGTGACACTAAACAACTGGTAAAAATAGACTCAGGCTACTCAGCACTGATGTATATTCATTTGAAAAAAACCACACAAAATAAGATTCATGTCTAACGTATATACATGGAAATTTGGAAATGCATCGCATTCCTTCCATGTACTAAAATTCTTTAGAAAAATATAGTTAGAGCTGCCAAGACTTACATATCACTTAACTATTTTATCTTCCTCCCCTTTCCTTTTGTTTCACTGATTTTATTGTATTTTAGCTCATTTGAATAGAAATTTTACAGGTTGCTTCGTACCACACATACATAAGAAGACTCTGGAGCTCACTGGGACCTCTACCATTTCTCAGATTCAAAACCCTGAAACCAGATATAGAAATACAAACTCATTAGTATCCTAATGCAAACAGTAATATTAAACTTTCTATTGGCAAAACTTTGCAAAGACATTTCATCACAATAACCTTTGATATGTTCTCCAGCTGGAGTATATTTAAAGCTTCTTATTGACATAACTCTGTTAAAGTGCTTTTCAAAGTAGTGCTCAGCAGGCAATTGGTATTGTGCAATATATGTAGTACAAGCTCACATTACAAATGATTTCCCACTCTTAAAACAGTAACTGAAGGAAAGTATCTTAGCAAGGCTAATAAAAACCTATTCAGTGAGTCTGTCTAAGAAATATGCGTTTTTGTTAGTACATTGACTGTACATAATCAGCAGCACTATACAAAACATGTTTCTATGACTAGCTGGATTGGGACTTGTCCTTTTTTGTGATAAGATGTTTATACTCCATAAATCAATTTATAGGCCATACTTAAATACTAGTGTTTGGACTATGCTCTTTATTTTCTTATGTCTATACATGGCTACCTACTCCATAGTTTTCATATACTACTCAGTGCTGTGAAATTCTGCCAAATATTCCTTAAAAATACTTTAAGAAAGGTGAAAAATAAATACTCTCTGGAGCAAAAGTAAAAACAAACAAACAAACAAAAAAAACCCCACAAAACCCCCCCAAAACCAAACCAAAAACCCAACAGAAAAAGAACAAAATATTCAAGGTATTGAAGTGGAATCACTTCTTAGAGAACATAGCCATCATGAGTTGTAGAGAGCAACAGCATTTACTGAAGCTGGCAAATTAGCTAAAGCCAGGCAATATAGAGCAAGACAATATAACTTCTCTTCCCACTTACACATGATCTGATATGATTCAAACAACAAAGTCTTGCAATGTTATTTTTCACAGATACCCTGAAAATTCTCTTGCATCAAAAGCCACTGTTTATGTACTCTTATATATCCATTTACTAATACAACAGATCTACTTACCTATTCTTCCTTTGTCTACAAAGTCATATAGTGATGTTTAGAAAAATGATGAGAATTTTATTTCTAGAAAAATAACCCTTTTTCTTGTGTTCCCTATAGTTCATGCTTTGAGCCAAAACCTACCCCTGAATAACCACAAGAGTCAGCAGCACTGGGAGAAATGGCCAGATATCTGACAGCAGAATTTCTTACTCTCAGGTTGTTGTAAAAAATGCTTATAAAGCATCAGGGAGAGGGAAGGGAGAGGGAGAGGAAGGACAGAGTATGTTTAAAGGAGTTAAACTGAATTACTTGGATGCTGAGATAGGAGATTGGAGAAAACATGCACCTGCCATATATCTTATCCATTTCACTAAAATGATATTCAAAATCAGGCAATGCTGATATTCCCAGAATTTAAATAATAAATAAAAAGAACTTCCAGCTAATTTAATTATTATCGCACTACAGTCTTTATATAACGTGCTATTTACAGGGAAATACAAAAAGTATTTCATTCATACAAGTACTACAAAGACTATATGTGATGCAGAACAGCTTTTACACTAGGCAAGGGTATGGAACCTGGAGTCAAAAATAATAGTGAATTTGCCCCCACTTACCAGTGCAACAGGTGTTCAATGCAAAACAAACTGTTCACTCCCTTTGATTTCAATGCATTTTCTTTAGAAAGCTCCTAACAAAGCATTTTGTCACAGTCATTTTTCTATACTCTCACCAGCAGCACAACATCTTAGGTGAAGGAAAAGCAGTGAGCTGGCTGCAGAGTGGGAATGCAGAGGAATTGGCAAGTGTAGAAAAAGTGGAGAAGCTACAAAAATTTATTTTCCGACAAAATATCTCTCCACAAGCTGTGTAAACTTTTCTTGCTAAAACAAATAACTCTAGAACAAAGATTTTACATTTCCAGTGAAACTCACAGTAACATTTGCCTGTTTTTGCTCTCCCGAAGTCTCAACAAAGAGCCAGCAGATTTCTACTTTCCCAGTTACTTGGGTCAGTAAACTCCCTCATATTCCCTGACTGCAATTTGGATTTTTAAATTAAAAGACAGAATGAAGAAGCAGACTTTTTGGGCTGTTTGAGTAACCTTTGTTTTCTTCAGTAGATTCTCACATTTCACTGCCTAATGTGCACACGCACACGTACGCCCATCCACCACCCACCACTCACATACACACCTCCAACATGTGTGCTCTAGTATACTGACAACAGAACAAAAATTAAGCTGTGCCCATTGCAATCTTGTGACCTGAACAGAGAAGAATAATTTATAGTGGTAAGTCATTATCTTTACCATAACCTTGAAATGCAAAATTGGGTTTGCAAGGACAGCATAAGGTAAAAGAGTTACACCCTTTATCTCAAGCACTCATCCATATTTACAATAAGTATAAGCTTTCTGCTACAGAAGAAGAAGTATTTAGATTGAACACTGTTACAGATTTCCTAAGTGAGGCTAGTTCCAGTTGCCAGTAATTCAAAAGCAAATCTGTTGACTTGGCATTAGGACTCTAAAACAGTGTGATCAAACTTATATAGTAAGAAGGTGTCTGCAGAAATAACATTTATAAACTGTATATACAGTACACAGTACCAGTACATAGAAAATAGATTTTGACTCCATGATCCCCTGTGTGTAAGGCAAGACAATTCTGTCTTCATATGGAGACCACCAGAGGTACAAGCGACAGAGTGGTGCTTAAATCAATATGCAAATCAAGTGCATACAAATTAAAAATCAGAGCAGACAAAAAGTTTTAGATTCTTTTATGTGCTGATCTTGGCTTGCTGAATACACGGGAAGTTATTAAACATCAAATGTACCTTTTTTTTAAAAAACACTAACAACACCTTGATGGCAACAGATATTGTTCAAGTGGCAGCTACCAAAAACAGCTTGAAAAATGTCATAGTACAACATCAGGAACTCTTCAGTTGTACCACACTAATTCATATAGCACTAACCAAAAAAATAAGTATATGAATATTCTATTTCATGCTATTGCTATGCAAGCAACAGCAATACAAATCAGCATACAGAAGGATACCATGTGTTCTGCAATGAAGAACTCAAAGATATTTTCAAGGGCCATTGTTACAAGACTTCAAAGAAACACAAGACTGCCAGAGGCAAAAGTTACTGACGGATGTAAACATCCCTGTTCCATTCTCCCGCATCGTTACGTTTTTTCGATATCACTTCCCCATCCTTGTCACAATATTGGTCCCTTGATTTATGACGACTACGCTGTTTGTTGCATTCATTGTGGTCCTGCTCGCGGTCCCTCTCCTTTGAGCGATGCCTTGATTCTCTGTGTCTGTGATCACTGCTCCCATGGGACTCGTCTCTGTGATTATGATCCCTGTGAGAATCATAGTGGTCACCGTGGTCATGTGAGTAGTCCTCCTTTGGCTCTACATAAGCTGAATCTCTGCTGTCTTGTGTTTCTGAGTCAAAAGTTTCTTGCCTGTGAAGGCCTCTACCACCACTGCGATGGTTGTGGTGTTGGCTTGAGGAAGAGCGGTGCTGGGATTTCTTGATGGGTTCAACTCGTGCTTCCTCTTCAATTTGTGAACCACTGCGTTCAGGGACCGAATGGTCATTCCTCTGGTCTCCTTGAGATCCCTGCTATCAGAACCAGCAGTAAGTTCATGTACGTGAGGTACACACTGAAAAACTTTCTCCAATATCAAATTCAACTAGAAAGTACCATGAAACCAATAAAATTCGAGTACACAACAATCCACTTTGAATCTAAACTAGAAAAAAAACCATTAGAATTCAACTTTTACTGAAAATTCAGTATTATAATACAAACAATTCCTTTCACTCTCATCAGAATGGAGGGTGGCACTTGGGTTATTCTATGACACTTTCATGTCTCTTGTGATGTTTCTGATTATTCCAGTTAGCAGTAAGTGCCACCACCCTCCAAACAAAAAGAGAGCATATGGAAACAAGATAAACTGCAGAAAAATTAGAGAGGACATATCATGCCAGGAAAGGGCAGGTATCAGTCGAGAGTTTACAGACGTCAGCTTGGAAACAGCCACTATGGGAAAGTGATTTTAGTGGGCTGAGGAGGTTGATTACACCGAAGAACCAAAGTACAAAACCTTGGCTCTTTTAGAAAAGCTTATTTTTTAGGAAAAAAAAAGCAATTGAATCTGGTATGAATAAAGTTTGTATTATGATACTAATAGTATCACTGACCTTTTGTTTTCTCAGCAATCATTTCATTTCTTCATGGTAATGAAAAATTAAACTTTGACCTTATAATTTTTAGAGCTTGAGAATATAGACCATTGCCAAGAAAAGCAGGAGGAGAGTGATATTATCACATACAGAATTTCCTAACACACAACTGCTATTAAAAGACTTAAATAAAAATTACCAGGTAATAAACCTACTCTTCACCCGCATAATGCTTTGAAATCACTGCAAAACGAACAAGTGACATTATTTAACTCATCTGGGGGTTTCATTACATTAACCAGCTTTTGTTGCCAAGCCACAGCCAAAGACTTTTCAAGCTTAATTGCAACAATTTTAAGAAATAGTTTATGTTGAAATTGAATTATCCTTCTCATAAAAGGTGAAGAATGTCAAGACAAAATCATCCCTGCTGGCACAAAATTAAAATAGGTTTTAACAGAGGCATTTGTTTGTGAGACTGCTCTGAATTTACCAAAGTTAGGCTTAAGTTTGCCCTTCAATGTTCAGAGTTGTCTAAAAATAAGGATTGCCTCCAGAAAAGTTCATGAACATATCTTCCTTCTGTCTTCTGGAAAAGAGCTAGAAAATTTTGTCCTTCAGCCACACATCCTGGAAGGTGGGTTTTCTAGCAACCCAAAAAGTAAAATGACAGGAAATTGGACAGGAAAAAAATCTGTATTTCATCAGAAACTTATAAAAAGCAACATATTTCAAATCAGCAATTTGATAAATTTGACCAATTTTAATTTTCTAAGAAAGCATTTTATTCTGTAAACTTTCCAGCAACTAGATGGCTTATTCCATGTGTTCCTAATTTGAAAAAAATGGTATAGATGAGAGCAAGGTAACAGGAACAGCAGTCAAATTTCTTGTTTGTTCTTGTTCTTATGATTCTCAAGATGATTCTGATTTGCCAGAAAGGAATGTAGTAATTGTAAACATGAATAGATGTGTTCAAGGTGAAATGAAATGACTCAACAGAGGTGAACTGTAAACGAAATCAAGTGAAAAGTGAGAGTCCAAAGCAGTGCCTGTTTCAATGTGTAAACACAATTTTTATCAGTTCATCACCATGACTGTTTTTAAGGCACATAAATTTGGTATACATATGAAACCCTTTCATTCTCATATGGTCAAATGACACATATGTATGTACCTATATATGATCAGGACTACTAAAAGCCATCATTGCTGTGGTTTGAGAGCAAATGCAAAATGTGAACCTGCTTTGAACACAGTGCTACTTTTACAAGCTCAGATGCATCCTTTCTGCTATGACGAGTACATGTGAAGGAACATAAGGAATGAATTTAGACAGTACCTGCAATTTCAAAACAGTGTAGGGCTGTTGGATTTTATGGGCAAATTCACTTGCCCATAAATGTTACAGGGACACTGAACAGGTAATGTTTGAATCTGGATTAGAGTCTGGCTTTGTGGTTCATAACCACATTAGGGCTCTGATTTGGATTAGATTCTGCTGTGCTGGAATTTTATGGCCCAGTCTCATAAGGCCTTTTGTCTAAAATGGAGAAAGTTTGAGATAAGCCTATTTCATTTTTTAGGCTGTAATTTCAAAGAAGTAGAGGTTCTTAGAAAGAAGTTTAAGGAGTGTTGAAAGAGGAGAGAGAAGTCTGTGTCCACCAAGTGAATTTGCCTTGCTCCCTATTTCCGTGCAGCGGTCCCTGATCGCCTGCACCGTGTGTGTGTGAGGTTGCTCCAGTCTTTTTGGAATTAGTCAACAATTTCCACACGAGTTTGCTGCAAAGCTCTCCATCAGGTGGACAGGAGGTGTATGGTCTTTGCTGATTTAATTTCAAACAGTCCCAGGAGGCCTCACACCTTCAAGCACCTCGTGCCGTGCAACACAGTCAGGATCATTCTATAAAAACACGACTCTGGCAGCTGGCAACACAAATCTTTCTTTACAACGTACACCCAGGACTGAAAAATCATGAAAAACAAGTATGTTTCATTGCAAAGGGGCACTGCATTGGACTTGGGGGAGGATGACTCCAATGCTTTGCAGTGCAGATGTGGCTCCTCCAGGCTAAACAGCTGGTGGTTTGGCCTTTCCCAGCAGAGCAGTCCACAAAAACAGCACAGGCAGAGACTTTAAATTCTCTAAATAGAGGATCTTAACACTGTTGAGAGAATGGGTTATGCCACCATGATAAGGAAATAAAACCATTCTGTGCCAAGACAGTGACTGGCTCAGGTTTTAGATGTCAGCTGAAAATGTATCATAGGAAAATGAAACCAAAACAATGTAAAAGTTCTGTGTTCCATAAGGCACCCCTGTTGATTCACACTTCTGTATTAGCAGACCTACAAACAAACTGTGACACTGCAAATACACTCTCATTTTTAGTCCTTAAAATAAAAATGTTAGTTTGTAAGGAGCACAACATTCAGAAAAGTGTTATTAAAACTCTTGTAATAGTTCCTCCAGAGAACGTGGTTAATAAAATGAGTAAGTGAACTATAAATCCACATCCAAAAGGCATAAAAAAACTTAAGCAAAATAATTAAAAAGTTTACAAAGCAAAAAAAAAGTTTATCTAGCAAGTCTGCACACAATAAAACTGAATTTCATACTCAGAAATTCTTCCAGCTCACAATTTTTTCAGGGCGTTTCAGCTCTGAGGACAGAAAAAAAGGCAGAAATGAACTATAGCTTACAGTCTCTTTTCCTGCAACTGCTTTTGAAAGCAAGAGGAGATACCCTTCAAGGTGGCTAAATTTTTCTTGTTAAAGAACAAAACCGTAAAGTCTGTGGTTTTCTAATGGGAAATTCTTTGACACAAAAAATGATTTTGCAAGACCATAACAAAAACCCCACCATTTTTTTTGTATTTTAATTGGGGTGCAGATACATTTTTTTCTTTGATTTTCTAAAAGGAGCCTTTTTTCTTAGCCAAAGTTATGAATTGCAACTTGCATATGTATGTAACTTATGGGCATATATGGAACTCAGGTAGAAATTTAGATGTATTTAGCCATTATTTTATCTGGGACAGATGTATTATAACCCCCACTGTGATCTTCTCAGCCTCAAGGCAACACTCACTATTTAAGTATCATCTTTAAAGACCTCATTTTATGCCATGCAACAAAAATACAAATGAAAGCATCTCCTTATGCTGAGCACCTTAATATAATTATACAAACAAAAAGTTGAAGGAGAATAGAGGGGACATAATATGCCCATATCAGTGGGCACATCAGTGTAGAGGTGGGAATAATGCCTATTTTTCCCAGCTCGCTAGACAGCGTCCTCCCTGTTCAGAACATTTTGCCTCTCAATGTCTTTCTGCACAACATGTGCAGCAGGACTCAAGTTTTATGTCAGAGTTTGGCTTGAAGGAAATATGTACTTTTCACAGCAGTGGCCAGTGAATAAAAGAACAAAGAAAACACTAGAAGGGCCACTTTGACCTTGAGACTTTACCAATAGAGTCAGTCATTCTCAGCCTCTACAACTCTATAGCCTATGGGAAGATTGGAACAGATTTCCCTCCAACATTTGTGGATCTGCTCTGTACATAACCCAATTTGTCATGTAGGGTCTCTGGGGCTGGGATTTGCCTTTTAGCAATAGTCTGCCCATCAGTCAGAGAGTTACCAGAGGCTGTAATGTGCATAGTATTAGCCCATTTTTATTTCTCTCACTGGATTACATATGACCAGCTACAAAAATGCTTGTGGCTGGTACACATATTACTGGCACAGTGGTGTCCTGGGCACAATAAAACCTGAAGTATTCCACTTCACATCAACATATGTTTTCAGTCAGGCTGGCTAAGTCCTTGAAATCAAAACCAGCCCCCTGGTCAGTACACAAACACATGCTACTATGAATACAATAGTAATAACAATAGCATGCTTGTGTTTGCCTTTTATATTGAAAATGGTTGAATGTTCACTGAAAAAGCTCTTACTCTATCAACAGCAGTGAAAAATATCCAGCATATTCTAGTATCAGCCTACCACTGTGCTTTGGAAGAGGAAGAAGTTGACAGAAAAAAAAGAAGAGATAGTATAAAAACTGTACCTGTAAATTAATATTTGGACCTGGGCTAATAGGAAGAGTGGCTGTTGCAAGTGTGCGAGTGAGAAGCTGGTTAGGAGGATTGCTGCTAGGTGGATGTGTAGCCTTCCAGTAGGCTTCCAGATAGTCAGCAAGGTGTTCACAAGCATCTTCAAGCTGGTTCTCATCAAGAATTACATCGAACATTTCCTGATAAAGGAGAGGTTATAGTGAGAATAATCACCAGCTAAAGGGACATCAGCTAGAGACATTGACCACACTTTCCATTCATCAAAAATGAACCACATTTCTAGTACCTGTATTAAGATATTTTACCTTTTTTGTTTGGTTTTGTTGTTGTTGTTTGTTTTTTGTTTTTCTGAATGCAATTGATACAAAAGACAGCAATCATAACTACCAATAATGTTGCTAAAACAAGTCCTCATGACTTCCACTTAGTAATGCACAAACAGTCAATGAAGACATGAAGAAGCAGCTTGAACAAATCTTAAAACTCAAATATGCAGAAAGAAGTGTTAAATATTGAAGTATTTAGCTATAGGAAAAAAAATGAAACTGCAAGAAAAGGGATCACTCCCTATATCTAGAATAACTAAGAGAACACTAAGACAAACTAAGACCAATAACTAACAACAGTAAGAAACACAAGTAATACAGATACTTCAGTTTCCAAGTGTCGTACAAATACTAGGCAAGAGATTAGTCACATGGTCTAATTTTAGGCTTCTGAAGTTAGGAGGTGAGTTTCCTCCACTTCCTCCCTGTTCAGGGAGCCAGAAGGCATCTTTGAGCGCCTGTGCAGGTCTCTGTGAAGGTCACTGAACTGAACCTTCATTTTCTGGTCTCTTACCCATACTCTTGACAGCTGAGTATGCCGGTAGCAATGCATGTCATGTTTAAAAAACAGTTGGGGTCTCATCACCTCTGCTTTATGGTTGAAACTGAGAGAATTTACTTCAGTGCACATCACCAGAAGAACTGCAGAGCTCTCAGGTACCCCTCAGCTCTTTGCCAAAACTGTGACCAAGAACATCAACAGTAGTGGCCACGGTGATATATGCCCCAGGGGAGCTACTGAAACCATTGGCCTTATCCTAAACTACCAGAGATAAAGCGTAGTCACTGAGAGGGTTCAATTTTAGGCCAAAAACACCCTAAAACTGTCAAGTAAAACAAACATTCAGTTTATTGAAGCACTGAATGTATCAGCGCACATCCTAATAACTGCTTGTGACTAGGACTTTTTTTCTCCCCTGCACCCTTGTGATGAGCCCGGAGTCCTCAGGAGGCATTCTGCAAAAAAGCAATAGTGAAGCATGGCCAGAAGAGGGCAAACATTCCTGAAAATTATGTAATAAACCTTGTGCTTGAAAAGAAAGGCACCTTTCAAAGACAAGACATAAATTAACAGTAACTCACGGGAGGACACTGTGCCAGTTTATCAGCTGCCACCATCTGAACATTAAGGTGTTTGGCCTGAGATTTCCCTCGAGATTTTATCAACCTCTGTAAAACCTGTGAAAAGTAAGACATTAATGAAAGTGACCAAGTTCAGACTTCATGTACATTTATAACCACTTAAAATGTTTACATTTTAAACTGCTCACTTGCGCAGAGCAAAATCTTAATTTGCTGGCTTCAGGAACATTTCCCATGCTCTTTAATCCAGAATGAGCTAATTTTCATTAACTTCCAGACATCTTTTTGTTACAGTCACTAAAAGGTCCCCCTCCTACTTTGCTCTGCTGCTTCTATTTTTTTTTCTAAGTTGAATTTTTTTAATTGATCTCCTGAGTTCTCTTCCCACAAATTCATCCTTTTCTTTCAAATGCCTCTTCGCAAGGTCTGTGCATGGTTTTTTCAAGGAATGTTACAGTTTAGCAATCGTGTGAAAATGTTTCTTTCATTTCTGTATTATTTTGATTCAACAAACCATTAGCATTACTTTACGTGATTGATACTAAAAGTGCAATCCCAACTAAAAAGCCCATTGGAGCTACAGCATCTTTTCCAAAATGGATCTTGGTAACACTAGATCTGAGATACCTTTTTGATTAGTAATACTTCACCATCCAAAGAGAAGCAATAACAATATATAGCCTCTGAACCGGAGTGAAGACATGTGATTATCTGAACTTAAGACCAAAAAATAAAATTAAAAAAAGACTGAAAGAGCATGAAAGTGACTACAATACTTACTTTAGGAGAAGAAATCTTCACATATACTATAATGGGAGCCAGAGAGGTTTTGCTTAGTTGAGCTGGGTGGTTAATGGTATCAGCATCAAGCACTACTAACTGCAGTGTCCTTGCTAATTCAAAAATCCGTTCGATTTCACTTTGAACTTCAGCTGCAGAGAAATAGAAAATTAGAGTTACAAAAATACTAAGAGGTGATTAGTTTGAAGAAATGTAAAAATGTTGTAAACTGGTGTGCTGCTCCTCCTCTGCTTGCAGGAGTTGTTATCTGTGCATGTCCCTGGCCCACTACAGTAATGAATGCAACATTAATGAGAGCATTTCATCCCCGGTTTGCTGCCTTGGCAGGCAGCACAGCCTGCCTCTTTCACCTCACCGATTCCTGCCATTCCAGACTGGAGAGATACTGTTAGTGCCTTCTTACAAAACCTCGGATCATGTATGTAAGAAAAAAAGAGGTATGAATGCCTGCTGCATCAAACAGTAATCTTACTATGCCACAAATTTCCTACATGTAAATAATTTCAGTTCAGACTTTAATCTTAGGCAGTAACGAGTTTGCTCAAACTGGAGTGCCTGAGATAGGCATTAGGAAGTACTGAAGTGCCTATATTAGCAGAAACTCATGTTTTTCCATTTATTTCAACTTATCAAAGCTCTGGAAAACAGTTTCCTTCATATAGTGGCCTCAGTAAAAATTTTGATTATTATGTGTAAAACACTTTTTCAGGAGAAATAACTCAATAATCCAAATAATGCTATGGTGTCTTCCTCACAACCCCAGAAGATCTGGTAAGGTGATTTTCCCAGAGAAAAATCTTCTCTTCTGGTAGTCATGCTCCCAGCTCCTCAGCACCCTGTCTGATTGGCAGTACTTTTCAGGACAAACCTCTCCAAGACAGATGGGCTGCATCCACTTTCACAAGTGGTGTAGAAACTGTCTTCATTCCCCAATGAAACAAAACTGAATCTTGTAATAGCAAAATCATCCTTGAAATGGAATCACATTTTCCTGCTCAAATTTTGCTATAGGCTGGGAAATTACAGAAGCTGGGTGATTTGTGCAAGTCTGCAAAGAAAGTCATCAGGTAGACAAGGCAGTAATTCATAAAGGTTTCCCTTTAAAGGTCGTGCACGCTCCATGAACCAAAATCAGATTAGGTGTCTTGCCCATTCAAGGTAAATATTAGAGGACAACCAACAGAAACTTAAAGGTCAGTAAGAGATACCAAAAACTTAATAGAGAGTTTCTTGAAATTACACTATCAGCCTTTTATCCATTGTACTGGCAAAAGCTTTACTTTTGCTTGGAAACACAATCTATGTGATTAGAGAGGGTCTCTTTCAAGACATGTGAAGAGATCGATTTTTGATATCTTAGAATAGCAACTGAATAAATCAGGTACCATAATAAGGCTGCAAAATTTCCAAGAGAGAGCAAGGCATCCCAGCTAGTTTAGCTCAGTGTTTTGGTTCCAGATCAATAGGTGATTGCTATGGTCATTTTATAAATGAAGTAACCTCTAAATGGTCACCAGAAAAATCTATATATGATATCCTTTATTGGAGGAGGTTGACATTGTTTTGGATCTATTAGAGGTCACTTCCAAATGTTTGTAGTTATCTCCAGTTTTAGGTGAGTACATGCCAATCAGCCATTTACAACAGCAAACATCGTGAGGTGTGCATGGCCTGTGGAAAGCATTAGTGCATGCTTTTCTGCTGGTCAATGAAAACACTGTGGCCCAGCTGCTGTCTAAATTAGGACCACATTTTTTAAGGGAGAACTGATGGTTCTTGGCACATTCATGATTACATTTTCTGCAACTCTGCTGTGTAGAGACACTGCTGAAGTCACTGAACACTGTTGTCTCAGAGTTTTGGTAAAAGATAGTCGATAATCTATGCCTAATTTAAGTCCAAATGACAACTAGAATAAACATATCAGAGATAACTTGTCATGCTGTTCTGATGACAAGTTTGGATTCCTTTCCTGCAATTTCAAACCAGGCTCAACACTTCAGTCAGTATAACAATATCAGTTAATGTATCATTTAAAAACCATTCCAGACTGCTAAAAAACCCTTGTTCAAGACAATTTATAACCAGCAAAATCCGCCTCTATGCCATTGTATCATAATTTTTTCTGGGATAGCAGTATTTGCTACTTGCTTCTTCTTGCTGGAAGCACTTTTCTGCCACTATAGAACACATCTCTGTGGACTAGATTTCCTGATATACTTTTTGAATCACCCTTTGCCAGAGCATGCCTCAGGATATGTTCTATTGTGAAATATACCCAGGGCAATAACTGCAGGTAACTATGGCTCTATGAACCAATAGTTTCCACTTGAATCTGAAGATGGAGAGATGTCTTTTTCATCGACTAAAAAGTATTTCAGTACTTATTTTTCTAAACTTGAATGTAGGAGAGAAGGTCAAGGAACTACACTGCGTGATTGGTGAACTGATATATGTGCCTCATATATCATGTGTGCCCACTCAAGAATGGATGGGAAAAATGCCAGAGACTGATGAAGAGGTCCCTATCTCCTGTTCCTTAGAGCACTTCTTCAGCATCTGGAAAAGCTTTCATTTCACTTGAAATCTTCTTTGAATTCAAGCTTTACACATAAGATTGTGCCAATTACTTACATAATAGTAGCTTCTCTTTTTAGATGACAAAGACTTTATCTACTGCTATAGCTTTGGTTTTCATCTTTCTTTAGTAACATCTCTCAAAAACCTAATTCTATACCCATAGATTCCTTCACAACAAGACACTCAACACAAATCTTCTCTCAGACGTTTGCCCAAAGTAAGCAAAGAACTCGAAATGTCATCTGGGGATAGTAACACAAATGTCACTGATAGTTAAAATAGGGAGCTGAGAACAGTGACAGAGGGGTATCTTCAAAGCAGCACAGCAATAGCTTTGCAATCTTCCCACCTCCATGAATACTGTCTATTTAGAATAATGTCCCTTCTTATGTACTGGAGAGGCATAACTGGAGTGAACTTATAACATTAAACTCCAATAAATTGTATTTGCAAATCATGAGAGGCATAAAAATAATTAGATCTACTATGACAACCATCATGAAATGCTGGCAGCCCAGCTACAACACTCAAACCCAGAAATCAGCTATCAAATTTTAAAGTCACCCTTACAATCTATTTCATATGGCCTCCTTAGTAACCAGAAAGCAAACATATTTTAAATGACAGGAGCATGTAACTAATTATCCCATACAACTCTAAGAAACAGTAAGTACACATCTCCCAGACATCTTTACATATAGCACATTTAAACTTATTTCCAAATATTAATTCTCAACATCCTTACTGCGCCTTGAAATGAAATTCAGTGCAGTGAGAGCACTAGTAAAGGGCTTATCCCATTATGGGGGCAGACAAATATTCTTTACACCAGGTGGACCTTACAAGTGAATTTCAAGCAAAAGTCTTTAACAGTTCATTACAATAATCTCACCTGAAGTAAAGGCAAAAACACAACAACACTGCATTTTATCTATGTCAATTCACTAGTAACATGGTGAACTATGGTGGAATTTAGAGTCACTTATATAATGCCATGGTAAAAGAACATTCTCTATGCTCCACAGTTGGAGAAACATAACCCTCCTTCAGACTTGGGCTGAAAGCATCCATAGCAGCCAGGAGTCACTGGGACACTCAGCTTGACAGAGCAGTGGCTATGTCAGCACTTTGTTTTAGGAAGACCCTGATGAGATGGAAGTTTCATGACAGGGATGAGACACAAAATGGACATGCTTCTGGCCTGCAAAGGCCAAATTAGAACCACAAAATATTGCTTAAAAGCAGCAAAGAGACTTTGGTCTTCACAAGGAGCAGTGAGGTTCACAAACTGTCAACTGTGCACAGTATGACTTTTATATCCTATTTAATTTGACCTTGGCTACTGTCTATGGTATCAGTGGTTCTGTTTTGTTCATAGAAACAGATATGTAAATTATTGCTTGGATTCCAACAGCTACAGAGACAAAGCATTCTAGTTTTTTAAACGGGGCTCCTGATACTACAAACATATGGCATGAAAAGAACTCACCTAAGTCAACATATGCCATATAAAATGATTAGCAGCACCTTGCACAAAGGGCTTTCAAATAATTTCGTAAATTAAGGAGAACAGCATCAGTTGCCATGATTTTTCTTATACTAAGTCTTTTATACAAACACAGTTGCTTGAAAATAACTAATTACTAAATTCCATTAATATAATTAGAGTAATGAGAAGTTTAAGGCAACCTCTCAAATTCACAATCAAGGCGAAAGAAAGAAATGTGGTTTTTATTCCCAGTGCCTTAAAAGCATGTAGATTGTCTTGCACCAAAAAAAAAAAAAAATGCTGAGAAATGAATAAAGGTCATATCTGAAATCCAAGAAAATGAAAATGAAAAAAAAAAGGAAGCGATAACTATTGAGCTGGGCCCACACAAGTCTCAATTAAGAAGAAAATCATGAGCTTGACTGACAGAATTAAAATTTTAAATTTTTTTGAACGTGTGTGTATACAAGGTTATATTGAGTGAAAAATCACAAGAGTGTCTACATTAGGTATTGCTGTAAACCAGAATGCCACAGCAGGCTACCCTGGACTGCACTAGATATTTGTGCTCACTGTATACAAAGCGAGGAGGCCAAGAAGCTACCAAGGGTAATCCAGTAAACTACATAGTGTTTGAGCAGACCAGAGCAAGCCAATAAGAAAACCCACACGTACATAAGTGTTTGGCCTCTTCCTTCTCATCTTCCTCTTTCCTCCCCTCAAGCACCATGCTGCTCTGGGCAGGCAGGGAGCTAACAGAGGGGTCATACTGGGTAGGGTACAGAGGGTTTCTTTCCTTCCCCAGCCAGGGAGGTTCAGTCCTGCAGTCTCCAGGCAGGACTGTGTTTCCCACTCCACATTGTGGGGGCATCCCAGTGCTGGGGAGCAGAAAGCTGCAGCCTATGCTGCAGTGTACCCAGCTAAGAAGGAAAAAGTCTTGGAAAACATAAGCAAGTAAGAGAGAATAAATGCTTCAGCTTAGTCCTCAAGGTAATTTGTCAAAAGATACCTGGATTACAGGTGTTTTAATCAAATTTCTAACACAAATGTAGTTTAGTGAAT